TAGAGTTTTGTGATATATAAATAGAAAACATCTCCTCTCCTTTGGTTGGACTATCAGCTTCAAAATACTTTTTTTTTACCAATTGGAAATAAATGACAATTATAAAGCCCAAAAGTATTAACAGTATCCGCTATATAAACACACCATTTCCAGTTTCGGGAGTCTTGTCTTTGAAGTTGCTCGAAGTCCCATAATTTGCTTTCTTTCTGTCCCACAAGACAAGAAGACACCTTTTGATTGGAGTGCAGGAAAAATTACAGAACGTGCAGCAAGAAGACTCTAGACTATTTGTATGAAACACTCTTGGAAAAAATGTTCGTCGTAAGCAGTTTTACCAGTTACCAATAATGTTATTATGTAGTCATGCGGAGTACCATCATCTATAACAATCAGATTCAATTTGGTATAGAAAGGAGGCATTTTCAGTGCTCTAGATGATAGTGGAGGGGGTTGGTTATCTTCACCTATTAACAGGCAGTGTGTCAATAATGGGGGGCTGTTTATGTCTCTCGAGCAGTATATTCGAAAGATGGGGATAAGAAGGCACATGTTTTCCGGAGGGTGATGGGTGCCAAAGTATCTGCTCAAATTAATCCCCAAATCGATTACAAATTAATTTCTCAAAACTATCATCATTCTTCATCAAGCTGGCTTGAGATCTCCCCATTGTCAGCTTTATATGGATTCTTTTCATGAGAAAGCTTGTGCACAAAACATATAAACTAACACATAATTACAGCCTCTCTTGTGCCTAATACTTACAAGAATTTGCGCATTTAACTTTATAAAATCTCTCAACAAATATGTAGACAGATTTAATTAATTATCAAATCTGCTGAAATTACTTCATAACATCTGGAAGTACCCAATATTCACACCGCTACTTTTTCTTTCCTTTTCTGGAAATAGTACTTTTATTGTTAACAGAATATATACGAGAATTCAGTGAAGCTGCTGGACCCGGTGATTAACCACAACAACGCATTTAATACAATGAGGTACCACTGACTGCTCTGTTGTCTCTAGAAACCTGCCTAGCACATAACACTTACCAAGCTTTTGCTTTTTAAAAATATGTCCAAATGTAAACATGCTAGAAGACTATGGTACTTGTTAAGAAGGGGGAAACAACTCCATGATCTCCTGCCATTCATAAAACTGCAGAAATCACTGGAAACCATAACTTGGTTTCCAAACTACCTTCTTGCGGAGAAAATCAGCATATTGCTTTTGTTTGTTGATAAATGCAAGAAAGACAGACAACAAGATTGTCTTTGCCTTCTCTTCATATGCAATTTCAAGTTTCTGGTTTCTTCCGCCTTCATCTCCGCTTGGTTGACCACAAATTCAAACGCGATCCTTACTTCCTTCCTAGCTAATTCGAAGGTATGAGCTCTTTCTCGCAGTTATCTTGAAATCTTCAGTTGTGGAAATGACACTTTTAGGTCTTGTTAAGTGTCATTGACTTTATCATCATACAACCTAACCAAACCATTAAGATATTAATTGAACTCAATCACGATTCTTACAAGGTAAGGATGCCCTCTACCAAGTATTAGTGCTCTTACTTGCTACATCCTTTGCCGCAATGTAAAATGAAAAAGGCAATAATTAACTTCCTAAATTACCTAAGCATGTCTCCAGTATGGAGTTCTGGCCCACTTAATGCTGGTGAAATGCTGAATATGTTGCCATCACCATAAAAGGAAGGATGCCCAAGAGGTGTTGGCCTGTCTGGAATCGGAGGAACTTCAATATCTCCTTCCAACATTTTTAGGGCATCCAGAATAGTGGGCCTCAAAGCCACCATTACATGAGCACACAAAATACCAACCTGCACAAATCTCTCCATTATGCCCATCGGGTTCGAATTTAGAGAATCATCGTGTGTCAGCAACAAAGGATCCAAAGCCTTATCTGCCTTCCCAGCTTTCATCAATGACCAAGCCCAGTCAGTAATCAAAAATTCACGGGGTGATCCCGATAAAGACAGATCAAGAGCTCTCCTCCCACACATTATCTCCAAAATGACCACGCCAAAACTATAGACATCACTTTTCTCGGTCAGCTGCCCATAAAGAGCATATTCAGGGGCCAAGTATCCATGAGTTCCTGCCACTCTAGTGGTAAGATGAGACTGTCCTTCTCGACTTTGTTTTGCAAGGCCGAAATCAGCCACTCTGGCTCTCATATCAGCATCTAATAATATGTTTGTCCCCTTAACATCTCTATGAAATATTGCAGGTTTAACTCCATAATGTAAATAAGCTAACCCCTTAGCCACATCCAAGATAATATTTTTCCTCTGAGGCCAACTTAAGGATTTGTTTCGAACTCCAACTTGATCATCCAAATCTGAAAATAAATAATCATCAAGATTCCCGTTGCACATATAATCATACACAAGAAACCTCTGACCCCCCCTACCATAATTCTCATCTTCATCAACCACACAACAGCCTCTAAGCGGCACCAAGTTTCTATGCTTCAAATTGCTAATTATCTCAACCTCATTGCGGAAGTCTGCATCTCCTTGAAAGTCTGACTCTATAATCTTCTTAATTGCAACCATGGTTCCATCAGGCAGGACCCCTTTGTAAACAACTCCAAACCCGCCTCTCCCTATAAAATTCTTGGGTGAAAAATTATCCGTCGCCCTCTCAAGATCACGAAATTTGAACCACACTGAACCAGTATTTGGCCTCAATTTTGACCTAGAACCCTGTTCATCCAAGTCAGTCCCAAAACTAGCAGGCGCGTTGAAACTTTTCCTCCTAGGTATTCTACCATACCAAAAGTACAGTCCCAGCAAACTAGACATAACCAATATGGCAACCCCAGCACCAGTCAGGCCAAAAACAAGCCCCTGATGGCCCTTCTTCGCCAAACTCACTTGGGTGTTGAGAGACAAGGCAAGGATACAAGTCATAGCACCATTACTCTGAGGCCCTAGCTCATTAGCAATACCAGCAGCATAAAGAACAGTAAAGTAAAAACAGTCTTTGGCATGGGATCTGTTACCATCAATACTGATCAACTTAGACTGAACACTGAATCCAGCGTTGAGACAAGCATCGCAGTGAGTAAGATCAGTGAGATCAGGACGACACGCAGTGTCAAGCTGGGTGGAACCACCGAGCTGGGAGACCCAATCTTGGGTCGTCTGGATGTGGGCACAAGTGTTGGGAGTGATGACGAACTGCATAGGGTCAAAGCAGAGAGAGACCAGATTGTTGGGGAGGGAGAAAGAAGAAAGCTTTGACTGGTAGTCACTGAGGCAAGAAATGGAGGTTTGCAAGTCGGATAGACGAAAGTGGGAGGTGTCCTTGAGGTGTTGGGAGAGGCCTACGGCGAAGAGGGACAAAAGATTCAAGCAACAGGGACTCTCAGGATCATCTTGACGATAATAGTTTCTGCAACCCGTGGAGTTCCAAGGGATTGTTAAGACGTAGGAAAGTTCGATAGGGCATGGTGGTTGGTCGGCAGGAGATGGAGAGGAGGCAAAGACAGAGTCAGAGGCAGAGGTTAGGGATGAAGAGAAGGTAGATATACAAAGGAAATAAACAAGAAATGCAGAAAGATTCATACTTTCTTAATAAATTTGGTATATTTTTATTATTTGGTGATCACTTTATGGAATTGGGTTTTGCGAATGACGCTGATAATTGAATGGTTGCAGAGCAAATGGTCAAACCTCCTTAATTCTTCCTCCGCCATGGGACTACCACTGGCTGCTTAAATGCAAGCTGTGGAGCTGACGCGTGTGATAAAAATGCAAATCAGACACCTGCGGAAATTAAGCGCGTTTCCTGCACGTGATTACGTGCGGGTATAGAAATCTCACAACCTGCTCTCGTATCTCCTTGCTGCAGCTTGAAGTTGCAAGGTCTCTCAGAATCTTCTTGTCCATGTTGTATTACATCCCTAATTCCAAACTGATGAGTATTAGTTCTTTACATGCATGTTTCGTTGTGGATATGAATTTCGGCTATTCAAAAGTGTCATCTTTAAAACCATTCCATATAGATAATATATTTCTCATCTTTGTGAAGTTCTAAAATTATCAAGAAATCGGGCAGAAAATAGCGAAGAATTTTTTGTATGGACGAATATTCGAGAGAGTAAGATACGGTTAGGGAGATAGAAAATAGAAAAGCTAGATATCGGGGATGGAAAAAATTAACATATCGATTTCATTAATTGAAGTGTTTGGTATTTATTAACAGAATCTAAGTTTGATTAATTACATTAATGATGATGATTAATTAATGAAGTAATCTAAACTAACTAAACTACTCAAAACAACTTTTGACTAATTACCTAATTACTTGTTTTGATTTGATTTTGACTTTTGTTAGAAATTCATAGAATTAATATGTATCCATAAATCAATTCTATAACTAACTTTCCAAAATTAGTGTGCATAGCATTACATATAATTACATTAATACACAACAAATTGTATATAAATTTTTACTGCATAAATATCACTCGTAGAAATTCAAATTTTTTAAGAAAAATCAATTAAAAAATTCATTCTTCTTCTTCATAAGAGTAGAACTTTTTTTTGAGAGAAATAGAAAGAGAGTAAGTTTTTTCTCCGCATATATTTTTCTTCTGTTTTTCTTTCTCTTTTTCCAGATTACTAAATGGGTAACTTTCCCTATATGTGGTAACTAAGCACAATTTTGATTTTGAATTTTAACTAAATAGGTTATCCTAACCAGGTCGGGTCTAATCATAGGTGACTCACCCGATTAAATTTAATCTCTCTCACTCACACGTGATAGAACCACCTCTCTCTTCAATTCTACAAGACTCATACGTAAATAAGTTATGTGATCATGCATACTTCGAGAGCATTTTAGCTATATATCTGTTAGGATTACATAGCTTCTTTAATAGTGAAGATTAGAATATGTAATTGTATGTTATATCCTAGACCAAATGCCATATTTATGTCTCTAAGGATCTCATTTAACTAATAAATTGAGCACATTCATAATTATATTTTTCTACAGATAAACATAATTGGTCAACCAATGAATATACACCAATAATGTAAGATATTATTTAAATTGTAATCTTTCTCTTATCTTGATTTTCTCACATTTTATTTAATTCGCTTTTCTAGATATATTCTATTAAACTGAATCATTCATGACCCTTTGATTATATCCTAATATAATGAGCCTTAACTAAAAGATTTAAGAAACATATTAGAGTCATAAGGGTATCAGATGATATTCTCTTAAAATCTCATGATCTCACACAATATTAAAGTTGAGGTCTCACTTTTATTACCTTTTGGTCAAATTAGTTGCATATATGGTATGAATCACATGTTATGGTATTTTTTCCTTTCTTGTGGAGTGTATTTCTTTTATTTCTTATAAATACCGTATATATTATAGTCAAATATACATAATATCTAACTCGAGTTCACTTGTATACCTTTTTAACTTTTCAGGTCTCTAATATAGTAATAAGATAGATAAAATAATAATTATTAAATTATTCACTTAGTGCCATAAACTTAACAATTTTATTATGATTTAATTCTCAACCCTGATGAGTGGCAAAAATTATTAATATTTAGCTCTCAATTACCATCTAGGTAATTAGCTTAAATTTGTCTCATTTTTATCATACCAAATAACGAAGGTGATTGCCTGAGTGAGAAGATTAATCTTATATTTTTCCGATATGTTTTCTCTAAATGTATAGATGTATATAATATATATACACATGTTTGTATATGTATACTCTACAACAAATGTAAATAAGATCATAAGAAAAAATAAAAATAAAGTCTTTCATTGGTAACGTAACCAGTGAACATAGTTGGAAATATATAAAATATAAGTATATTTAACATCTATGGAAACCTAATGATTTAATATACTTATAATATGCATCTCTTAGTATAGGCTTTGTAAATGAATCTGCTACTATATCATGTGTAGATATATACTTCATGTTCACGTCTTTTCGCACAATCATATCCTTCACGAAATTGTGTTTAATATTTATATGTTTTAACTTTTTATGAAATTTTAGATCTTTGGTATATATTATTGTTACTTGACTGTCACAATTCATAATTACTAGTTCACTGGCAATACCATTGACTCCCATATGGTCCATAAACTTTTTTAACCAAACAACTTCTTGCACAGCATTTGAAAAAGCTACAAATTCAGGTTCCATTATGGAAATGGCTATACATGCTTGTTTCTTACTACTTCATGATATGGCACCACCATTTAATAAGAAAGCATATCCAAATGTAGATTTTCTTTCATCTAAATCTCCTCCCCAATCAGCATTTGTATAACCCTTCAAGTGTAAATGATAACACAATGAGTAATCAATTGTGCCTTTGAGATAACATATGATTTTTTTCACTACTTTTCAATGCCCTTGACTAAGGTTGGATTGATATCTACTTAATATTTTAACTGCATGACATATGTCAGGCCTTATGCACATCATAGCATATATATAGTTTCCAACTGCACTTTAATAAGGAACTTTGCCCATTGATTCATTTTCTTATGGTGCTTTAAGACGCAACCTTTATCTTAAAGCTTTATTTTTTGTGATAGAGTTATCAATGGATTTATAATCTTGCATATGAAGTTGTTCAAGAATCTTTTTAATATACGATTCTTGTAAAAGAGATAATAAATTCTTTGAACGATCTTTTAAAATCTTAACTCCAATGATGTGTGCAACCTCTCTCATATCTTTCATCTCAAAATGAGATGACAACCAATCTTTAATTTCTTTTACATAACCTTTATCATTTCTAACTATAAGTATGTCATCCACATATAATGATAAGATAGCAAATTTATCTTTAGATCTTTTAATATATACACAATGATCTTCTTCATCATATTAAAGTTATGTAACATTATCGCATTATGAAATCAAATATATCATTGTCTTGAAGATTGTTTAGACTATATATTGATTTTAAAGTCGCATACTTTATGTTCCTTGTCTGTTTCATGAACTTACTA